ATACTATAGTTAAAGACTCTAAGGCCTTTAAAACATTTTTCTCCAAACTTTTCTTATTCATCCAAATCAAATCTAATGCTGTGTGAGTTACTGGTATAAATTCAGAAATCTTGTTTTGTACTAGAGGATGGGAGAAATATGGTTTCTAACCCATGGTTTATCGCTGTTTTCTAACTTTAATTCAGATATGCATGCATTCTTCTTGCTGTAGTGGGGCAACTGGGCAGGACTCCACCACTTTCTTCATTTTATACCTCAACTCATAATTTAAAGATAGAGAAAAATAAAGCTGAAAACAACTTTTCAAAAGCAAGTATTTGAGAGAGATCTTCATGGAATGAGGTTTTTGGGTAAGGGAGTCAACTAGGATTGCAAAGTATTTCCCTTTATTGCATATTCAAGAGGGAAAAAGAGCTCACTGAAATGAGGAAGAAAACAGAAGCACTAACATTTGCAATAAATAGCTCCCATTATTATGACTCAATGAAAGCAAAATGAAAGATGTCACTTCTCTATTTTACATTTAAGAACTAAAGACATGCCAATGAATAAAGATAAAGGTCTAGTGGGTTTCATAAGTCTGGTATTAAAAATAAAATTACCCTCATTGACAGGTGAAATTGATCTGGCATTTCACAAAAGAAGGTAAATGGATTTTTAAAAATGGGTTTCTTCTCCTTATACAGGACACTTCAACTGTTTAAATAATTTGAAAGTTATTTCTCATGGAAATTGAATCAATTTTCCATATGCTTGAAGTACATTAATGAGTATTCTGAATTTTCTTCCCTCTGGCCAAGTGATAAGTCAAAGCAAAGAACCCCTGAATGCTATTACATTGTAGAAAATACAATTTTCTCCTTGAGATAGAATAGTTACTGGTTGCTGTTAAATTTACATAGGAAATACCAAGTTACTGTGGCTATGCTATGCATAGGAAAAAGTCTTCTGTAGTGGTCAGCTAGTAACACTCACAGACAGTTCAAGTTCCTGTCACATTTCAATTCGTGAGTGTTTAAATGTGTTTTCTCAATCTTGTGTAAATTACGCTTTTCACCCCAACTTCCTTGTGGGGTGAAAGACTCTCTTGTGGGGTGGAAGTCTTCATTTTTGTTTTGAGTTTTACTTGTTGCAGTTGGTATTATGAAAAAAACAAGGTTATTCTGAATATAGTTTTTCTAATAATTATGATCTATACATTTCAACATTACTTCACTTCTACCAGCATAAGGAGACTTAAAGCAAACATCTTGTTATGATTTTGAGCATCAGGGGTCTGAGTACAATGAAAGAAATACAGACTTACAAATTATAATAGTTTCAAAAATTAAACAAAGAAAATGTAAATAACTCTATTCAATCATAGTTATCAACTCTTAACTTAAATGGTTCTAAACCAAGGTTTTCTTTATTAACTTATTACACACTTAGTAGTTTTCTTCTCCCTGATGACTAACTATATCTTTCGGGGGCATCAGAAATCTCCCCCTCCAATTCTTAACAGACAGCCATTCTCTGCCCAATATTATTGTAGGTCTTGACTGACAGCTTAGTCCTTGAAGTTATTTCTCTATTTGGTTTTAGTAGCAAAGAGATGGTGATCTCCTAGATATGAAGAAAAAAAAAATCAAAACCACACCCAAAAGTAAGTCTAATCACACTCTGATTTTAAGACAGAGCAATTAATTTTTTATCATATGTGGAATGTAACATGATTTTCTATATAAAATTTTGCTAAGAGGTATTTCATCAAAATCATGCATTTGGGTTTATTTCCCCTTTTCCTTTAATGGCTGATGATACAGACTCTTAGAAGACATCTCCTCTCACCTTCCTGCAGGGCTAGAGCCACTGTCTTCACTTTCCCATTGGTCATTTTTACTTCTTGGAACTGGGGGTTGTAGCATTTCAGCAGCTAGTGGATCCGCATCATTTTCTTCTCTACCAATCCACTCTCCAATCACACGGGGCCTCAGAAGAGAAGAATTAAAAGCCACTGTTTCCTGAAGAGGAGAAAAGAATGTGCTGTTTTAGATTACTTTTGTTGTTAATAGGACAACAAGAAAATGATCTTCTCCAGAGTTTGGACTGTTTACCCAAACCCAAATTCTCCTTTACTTTTTCTGAATTGATGTAAAACTTCCGTTCTCTCCAAATCTACTAGATGATTTGTTCTATGTGATTTATGCTAATTCTGAGGGTCACTATGATAAAGGATCCAGGAGTGAAATCTTAGATTTGGATTTGGAAGGCTGCATGTGTGTTCTCAGGAAGGAAGAGCAGGACGAGCATTTGTGATGGAAGGACCAGTGTGTTGTAGAAATAATTTCTCAGGTGGAAACTGGGTCCCCACCCAGTTGGGGGGCTGGGACAAGAGGAGACAGGACTAGAAGGGTGCATTGCCTCCAATTGTGAAGTATTTTGGACTTTTAGGGATCCGCTAAAAGCTCAGAGCAGGACAATACCAATACAGGTATGCTACGCTAATTCAAAAAATATTACAGTAATCTCTTTTCTTAGACTTGGATATGATGCAGCTATTAAAATATTTTACGAGAATACTGAATACATGAAATCGCTAGGGATGTTTTTTAAATGAAAGAAGGGAAAGATAAAAAATCTGAAGTATGATCTCATTTTTGTTTAAAATATTCATACAGATGCATATCTATCATTCATTCATTCATTCATTCATTCATTCATTCGTTTATTCTCTAATATGTATGAAGACCATGTGCAAAGAACTGCATGATGTGCTGGGGAAAACAATGGTGAATAAGACCAATATTTAATAGTGGTCTTATCTGAATAGAGGGACAACAGGTAATTTTAATTTCTTCTCTTAGCATTTCTATGTCTTCTCAATATTCTACAATAAAAACTTTTCTTGTAATGAGAAAAATGTATTTTTAAAATACATCAACCTAAGAAACACAGGCTTGCTTAAATTATATTACGTGATAAATTTCAGTATTACAAGAATCTTAAACAATTCCTTAAAAATTCAGGCCTGGTGATCTGAGTCTTCATAATTGACACAAATATAATACAAATCTAATACATAA